GATGCGAACCCGCGACCCGCAGATTGCGAGTCGAGCGTCCTAACCACCTGGCCATGCCGGACCTACACAATGGGCTATCTGTGCTCTGCCCACCATGAAACCCGGATTCTAGCGTTGTAAGTCCGCAGACATACCGCTGTGCCACTGGGGGGGGGGCGTTTTATAGAAACGGTTAGATTAGTTGTTCAGATACATTGTTAAAGTTCTTTGTAATAATTACGGTAATCTCATTTGATTAAATGGACTGAATATTATTATTTTTCAGCTTGTTAAAATTATCTGTCAGCATTTAAAAAAAATCGGGGAATACTTAAAATGTGATAAAAGGACGAAGAAAAAAATAATTTGTACATGGTAATATTTATCCATTTAAAATATGATAATTCCCTATGATAAACCAAAAACTCGGTTGCTGTTTTTTTTTCTGCCCACATTTCACGGTCAGTTACTCAGTAGGTCAAGGTTTTATTTTTGTGTGTATGTGACACTCAGTTCTGACCTTGAAACGGTATCACGTGGTTACAATTTAAAAACAAAATGTCTGGCAGGATTACAACACATCCGCTATATTTTTGGGTACCTGCATCGCGTTTTTTTTTTTTTTTCAGCTTTACGGGCAATGTGCCAGTATTGTATTAAAAAAAAAACATTTAATTAGTGTTTCATTTGAAGCAGAATACCCGAAAACTCTCATTTAATAATTTGTTGGCTCGTTTATTTGTAGTTAAGCGCAAAACTGAAGAATGGACTATCTGTTCTGTGCCCACAACGGGTTTTTAGCATTATAAACCCGTAGACTCACTTCTGTGCCATTGGGGGTGGGGGGCTAAAGAAGAAAAAAAAACTGTTTATGGTATCTTGGTTTATCCATTGGACACATGACTTAATAATTTCTCGTACAGAGCGAAACATTTACTAAAAAGACGGCCCCCCTCATTGCGCGTTGTTGGATCATTGCCGCGCAAAAAAATTAGGGCATCGATTCTGGCTCAGCTCGTGTAAACACGACGTGCCGAGCGAAAGCTTGAAAGGGTGCCATACTTTGGAGAGTAGAATATGTTATATATTAAACAGTTCTGAAGCCTGCTGCACGGATTGGATAAGGTGCTGTTGTAATAAAAGCTGATTGGATAATATATTAAAAAATCTATTCACTCTTAGTGTATTTGTTTACATTTAATGAGATCATTTCAACCTTACTTTGAATATTTTAACATTCCCAAGAAGACAATAGAAGTTGTTTTTTTTAATGGAAACCGACACAAATTTTCAATAAAAAGTCTTTAATAATGACCACTTGTCACGTGTGAAACATGCCTTACTATTACGAACACGCCCCCCCCCACACGACTATTGTAGCTATTAGAGCGAAGACTTATTAAATCACAGATTAATAATTAATAACTTACTCCGAATAACGCAACGCCGTATTATAGTTGCAGTTTTCAACGTCATTTTTCAGCGCCACCATCGTCAGTTTGTTTTATTTGTTGTTAAGCGTAAAGCTACACAGTGTATCGAAACCCGGTTTTTAGCGATATAATCCTTCAGACTTTACCACTGAGTCACTGGGTGTGCCCATCAGTTTGGTAGAACAAACGTCATCTTGAATAGACTATTTTATTCATTTAATAGCCGTGAGGAACGTATCTTTTTCGAATTTTTTAAGGGATAAAATAGCAAGTTTTGTTTTTCTTTTATTGATTTTATCATCATTCTTTTGCTTATAAAACAAAATATAATTTGTCCACAAATGATAGAGTTATGGATATTCGTATGTTCTACAAAGTTGAAGGAGTTATCTTTCCTCACCAAAGCTTTCATAATTAAGCTTTTCATACTGTATTCCTTGAGTGATATGTATTGATAAGGTTACTTCTGTTATTTCATGACGTTAAAATTGTCTTCGTTTCTTTAAACAGTAACATTGTGCTTTGTATATATGATAAAAGTAATCTTATTTAAGCACTAAACATGTTTTTTTCTTGTCTCTCACAGAATTGTCACGACTTAAACACACGTCAATTCGAACAGATCTTCGAAATCGAATGAAACTTGAGTGATCAACCTTATAAAGGTGCAGCATCGCCAATATCACGACTTAATAGAACTTGGAGATCTTACTGGAAGTGAAACGACCAAACTGCCCGAGAATGCACGTCGAAGTCCAAGTCGCATTGAATTTTCTCATCTCTTTTCTCTACAATAAATTACCAAGGAGACGAGTGAATCAGTTTGGAGAAGAACTGGAGAAAGCTCTTCGTCAGAAATTCCAGGGACACTGGTACCCTGATAAACCAATGAAAGGATCAGCTTATCGATGCTTGAAGACAACACTTCCCCTGGATCCAGTGTTTGAAGAAGCATCTCTAGAAAGTGGTGTAGACTTAAGGGATATCCAGGAAAACCTACCAAAGGAACTTAGCATATGGATCGACCCTGGAGAGGTCTCCTATCGTCTGGGAGAAAAAGGAACTGTCAAGGGACTTTACAGCGAACCTGACAGCTCTGAAGAGAACAGCGAACACACTTTCAATCCTGAAGCTCAATGCTTCAAGCCAATCGACAGCGTGGCATCCCAGTTAGGAGGGCTGTCTTTGAAATGTACTTCAACTGCAGCAGTTAGCTCCTATGGCAGCACACCTTCTCCTGCCTACAAATCAAATAGTCCCGTGAATGGTTTCATCCAAAAGACGGCAGCTCCTCTCACGTTCACCACAGCCACTTTTGCTCAGACCAAGTTTGGTTCAACCAAGCTAAAAAGTAATAGTAAAAGATCTCATCGTCTGTCCCCGACAGAGTTTGGGAGCTCAGTCAAGCAACGAGTTATGATGCAACAGGTTCAGCAGCTGGCACAACAACAACAACAATTTTCTTCTCATCCTCAGACAACAGCTTTGGCAGCAGCTATTCTTGCTGCTGGAGGAAATGCTGGTATCAGCGCCCCTCAGAGGCCAAGATCTTTGTCACCAAATTCACAACCTCAACTTGATGCAAACTTTCTTCTCATGGCCTCTCTTCAACAGTCACAGTTTACTCCTAATACGACTCAATTCCCATCATCCACATCAGGCACGTTTGCCCACTCTGGAGTGTTCGACGTTAACATGAATGGTTACACAAACGAACTTTTCGGGTCCTCCAACATTAATGCATCTGCCTCCACCAAGATCAATAGCCAATCATTAGCAAGTCCAACAAACATGACAGGAGTTAACAACAGGTTTTCTTTCTTTGATAAACCTTTTGGTAACACTGGCAACTCAGCTGTAGGCTTGAATCTAAACTTACCTTCTGGAGATTCCAATTCATCGACATTCGGAGTGGATCCTGTCAATCTCAATCTAGGCGGAATGTCTTATGCCAACCAATACCAGCATTTGTTGGTGGCTAATTAAAAAAAAAAAACATCTTTCGAATTGACACTTACAATTGAGTAAGTTGTCAGTAGTCAAGAAATACGACGTGTATGAAAATACTTTCAATTTCTGGCGTCCTTTGAATCAGTGTGTGATGTGATAATGGAACCATTGATATATTCTTATTTGGGGGTTGTGGATTTCGTTTAGGGTTTCAAGTCTGGCCTATGTACGAGTGCAAAACAAAGATGTTTTGGTAGCAAAACTTGTAATTTTCAAGAGCGTAGCATGGTTTCGGCATAAGAGCTTGTAAGAAAACTAATAGTCATAAACTGAATCGTTATTTTTATTGTTTCTTAGTTTACATTTATGTAAAGGAAAACGTAAATTATTCAAAATATGACGTGTTTATTTTGCTAGCTCATGGAAATTGTGTATATTAAATAACGTACGTGATTGGATGATAAATTAAGACTTATATGCAATCATCGTTTGACATTTTTGTTCATTTCTTGTTGGTGCTAAGTTCTTTAATACGGAGCACATTTTAATTTTCTACGGAAATCGGTACGAACCAGAGATCATCCAGTTTCAGGGTAAAGTATACGTAATGGAAAGTAGTGCCACTGAGATAGATGGCGAATTGAAACAACGAGCGTGACGGTTTTACGTAACAGTAATTTAAATATTAATGTTGTACTTTTGATTATGTTTTAATAATTATGCAAAAAGGGGTTAGACAACAAAGTTGAAATGTGGTACAAGAGATTGAAAAACGGACGATAAGATATTAGACAACGGAGATTGGTGGGTTAGAAAGTAGATGTTCTATTTCCAAAACCTTTAGTTCAGCCTATTACCTAGGCTTAGCTGTATAATACCGTGTATGTAGTAATTCAAATTCCTTGCGTGTGCTGACCGCTGCACGTTCGAAGTTTGTGTTCAACATATTATCATCACCTGTTACGTCAGTCTGGGTAGCGGGTATATTTTCTTACTATCTAGTAATTTGAATTCTGTACGAGTTACCCCTATGTGTACAGTATAAACACGTTAAGAGAGTCACACTATATTTAATTATTCTTTCTAAATAATGTTTGGGTATTTTAAAGGTGTTTTATCTTTTCTACTTGAAAACCCATATGTGATGTTTCCTTTTTATAAATATGTCGATTGCCAATGACAAATTTAATTACAAGGAATTATTGTTGTTATTATTATTATTATTATAGTGTGTATGGTATGTACAAAAATAGTCGTAGAAGTTTGCTTGTGGGCATAGATGCGTAGCTTTTTTTAACTTGTGTGCGATGTCGTAATAATAGGTTGAGTGCTTTCTTCGAAATCGCACGTAAAAATAAATTGTGTACATTTTTCCCGTCATGCACTTATCTATTCATATTAAATTGTGCTTGGTGGTTCCTAAAAACATTGTGCACTTATGTAGGTTTCCGTTTTCATACCTGGTTACATTTTTAAGTTTGTAATAAATGTTTCAGCATTTTTTCGTAATGAAATCACGACTGTTTCGTCTGTTCTTCTTGCGAATAAAATTCATAACTGATTATTTCAATTTAAATGTTGATTAATAACAGTTTGTAGTAAATAGTACACATCTGAAAATATACTTGTGGTTGACAACAATTTATTCACCCGGTGGAACAGGGGTAGGTTTATAGATCTACAATGCTAAAGTCCGGGGTTCGATTCTCCAAGTTAGACACAACAGATAGCTCATTGTGGCTCTAAAACAGAACCTTTTGTTCACAAATACTATGTTGTGGTTAACAACTTTTTGTTCACAAATACTGTGCTGTGGTTAACAACCTTCTGTTCACAAATACTGTGCTGTGGTTAACAACATTCTGTTCACGAATACTGTGTTGTGGTTAACAACCTTCTGTTCACGAATACTGTGTTGTGGTTAACAACCTTCTGTTCACGAATACTGTGTTGTGGTTAACAACCTTCTGTTCACGAATACTGTGTT